CGGCAGTGTGAGAGTGACGAACGTCTTGTTGTACAACTGCCCGCTGAGTGCCTCGGAACTCAAAATACTCAAAGACGACAGTGGTGGCGGTACAGGCGACGGCTCCACGCGTGCGGGTGTGGCTCGGGTGCTGCTACTCCTGCTGCTGCTGGGGCTATGGGGCTTTGCGGCCCTGTCCTGAGTGAAACTCTCTTTGAGGGGGTCCTGCTTCCGTCGGGAACACATGCGTTTCTCCACGGACCCTCTGAGGTTTGTAAATTCTCATGTGAATTAGCATTTTTTTTATTTTTGTTTTCGACACCTCATTTTTCTTTGTGCTTTGCAAGACTTTTCTTTGGCCCACAATTGCGCTCTTCTCCCGGGGCCAGCGCGGCGGGACCTGCCTTTAGTGTCTTCCTTCTTTTCTCTTTTAGTGTTACGCGCCTCTTAAAGTGACGGCATTTTTTTTGGCTACTTTTATTTCCTGGCGGGTTGATTCCGCGGTTTTCTTTCCTCCTTTCCGGTTTGTGGATTCAAATTTTTTTTCTTCGTTTACTTTTTTTTTGCGGGTTTGTTGTGTTTTTGTTCCGCCGGCTGTTGTTTTGTCGCCGAAGGCCCGGGCGTGCGCCTCGCAGGGGGTTTTCTCTTTTTTTTTTCACGCCGGCACTTGGCGGGGAGGGGCGTGCGGCGCGGTGCCGGCGGAAGCGTGCGGGCCGTAGAAGCGCCGCGAAGAGGCACGAAGGCAAAGCGAGGGAGAAAAGGCAACTAACCGCCCCCGTCGAGGGACGACGGACGCTCGCGGCGTTGCGTGCGCCGCCGATGCAAAAAAGAGGAATGCGACTCACGGCGGCGCACATTCTGCGCCGGCGCAGCAGCACAAACAAACGGTGCCCGGACGCCGAGGCTTTTCAAGGGCGGAAGGAACACGCCATTTTTGTTTTCATGAGGGGAAAAATGTGAACACAACTTTTTTTTTGGGCGATCGCGCCGTGGGTCTTCTGCGCAGCAAAAGAAAAAAAGGCGTTTTGTTGTTATTTGTTTGTTTTCTTCTGTGCGCGTGCGCACCGTCCATCGGAAACTACTTTTTTTTGTTCTTCATTTGGTTTTAGCGTATTTCCCGTGCGTTGCCGCACCGTGTGTGGGCTGCGGTGGCCCTTTCCCTCCCTCCTTCCCTCCTTCCCTCCTTCTCTCCTTCTCTCTCTTGCTGAATGCGGCTGCGTGGGGGTCGTGTGTGTCTGTGGCTATTTTTTTCTCTCCCTTTCGCATTCCCCTTTTGGCTGGTGGTTGCTGTTCGGCTGCGGCCCAGGCCAACAGCAACTAACGAAGTAAAGCGCAAAGAAAATAATGTCTGGAAGAAGCGAGGAAGAAGCTCACGCTGCTGCGGCGAGCCCCGCGAATGCAGTACCGCAGGGGCAGCGTCGGTCGAGGTCGG